TCTAAAAAAGACTGTAAAATAAAAATAAATTTAACTTATCTGTTATGCTATGTATAAAATTAAATAACATGCAATTATCTGAGTATTAGTGCTCATGGTGGTAGCCGTCAAAACAGAAGGTTTATGCCTTTTATTTGGACGAATGTCAGAAAAATTTTCAGGTAACCTTTTGCTAGCAGTTCTATCTTCGGGCAAACTTCTATAAACAACTCTATCTTTGGGTAAGTTTCTACTAATTACTTCATCATTGGGCAAGCTTCTACTAATACCTTCATCTTCAGATAATTTATTTAAAGCGTTTTCTTCATCAGATATCTATTTTATAGAATTTTATTAATTATTAAAAAAAATTTTTTTAAAACGATAATATTAAATACTTACGTTTATCACAGTATTTTCTTTTTCAGTTATCCTTACGCTTAACCTTTTATCTAATTGCTCATTTATCCTTTCACTTAACTGCTCATTTAATCTTTCATTCACTATATTATCCAATACTTTATCGTCCACTATTTCGTTCAATCTTTCATTTATCATGTCATCCAATTCTTTATCGTTAGTTATTTTGTTCAATCTTTCATTTTCCAATTCATATTTAAGCAATTTCTGTTTCTAAAAGAATTAAATAAATATTAATTGTACTAAAAAAAAAAAAAAAAAAAATTTTAATGCTGCGGCTCCTAAGAGCGATTCTACAACTTCCTGCTGATCAAAATCATCTTGAGGTTCAGATGGTTCGAACCAATTCTCAGGTAACTCATCTTCCGAATTAATATGTTGATTTTTGATTTCTTTTAATATTGTAAAATGCTATAAAGGGTTTTGTCCAAATACTAATGCATATGGACTATTTTTAGTTTGTCTTGATGTTTGAATATTCATCGCATCTATTAAAGACATTAATTAATTAGATCAGAAGTATAAATAACAATAAATCAAAAAAAAAAAAAAAACTTACAGCAGCATAAAGGTACTGCTCAAGACTAGTCCTTTCTTCTGGTGTCTTCCATCCACTTGGATACTTTTTGCTGAAGAACATCATTCACACGTTCCACAAGCCCCTGGCTTTGCGAATGCCTCAGACGGCCATTAATAATATGGACGTCTGGCCAAATAGTTAATAATTCTCAGATTATTTCTGCTGTAAACTCGCGACCATTATCGTTCTAGAGAATAATTGGAGCACCAAAGCAGACAAAAACGTCAAAAAGGAAGATAGCAACCTTAATTGATCGCTTGTTTGTTAATGCCCGGGCCCAAGAATACCGAGTAAAATGATTACGCATATGACAAATATAACAAAAATCACCATCGGGGATACTAGTCATAGAAATCAAGTCGACCTGAATCCTATTAAGAAAAGCATTGGAAATTATCGGCTTTGCAGCCACTGGGTTAGAAAAATTCCTTTATGTTGCACATATTGTGCAATTCTTTACAAATTCTTTAATGAAAGATTGTGGAATATAGCAATATTGTTCAGAAACCTGTATTAAAATAATAATAATAATAATAATACAGTAATAATAATAAATAAATAAATAAATAATATAAATTAATATTCCATTTTATAACCTTATTAATTAATCTATAGATTATATACCGCTTCTCAGAGTTTTGTTGAACCAACATGTTTCAAGACCCCTTGATATAAACTATACAGTATTTCATATATCTTGTCAATGGGGCACACAGGTAAGTTTGAATCAATTTTTATAAGTTGCAATATAGGGTTAGTTGACATTCCAAGGTTACGTAAAGCAAATATTTTTTTGGCCCAGTAACGTTCTTTCGCATTTCCAATTTTGGTATTTGCAGGTTCTTGTAAAACTCTAATGCAAAGGTCGAAATCTTCATATGTAATGAAAGTTTTACATCGTCTATTAACTGATTTGCTGTCAAGAAATTTGTCAAGCAACTCTTCAAATGCATTGCGAAATAAAAATAGATAATCGTGAGATTCAGCAAGAATTTTAAAATGAATAAAAAAAAAAATTTTTCAAATATATGTAGAAAATTTGCATAATTTTTTTCTTTATTATACATAATATTAACTATTGTAAACTATCATAAACTATACGTTACTATTAATCAGTTACATATTTATTATATATCGATGAGTTTAGAATCAACTTAGATGAAATTTAAATTTCATATCAACTTAGGCTACATTTGGAATTCTATTCCAACTTAGGTGGATTCTAAATCCACAATAATTTCATTCCAACGTACGACATAAATATAAAGAATTAGAAGTGATAACAGCGTATGGAAGCACTAGAGTAATTAAGGCAAAAGACAAGATAAACCAGAGGGAGGTGCTGTCTCCTCTAATATGGCGTATTTTTTATGACCAGCTTTTGTGTGAAGTGCAAAGAATTAAAGACTGGGGATATGAAGTAGCAGTGCCATGGTCTACAAACCTAAGAAAAGGAGAGATCACTTGGATAAAACAAAGACAAACTGTTGTGGCATATGCTAATGACATGACTTGGATTGCAAAATCCAAGACAAAGTTATTAGAAATCTTAAAGAAGGCTAATGAATTTTATAAACTAAATAACATTAAGATAAATGAGAAGAAATCAGAGCTTATTGTAATTAATGGGGCTATAAGCCAAGAAGACAAAGAATGCAGTATTATTAGTAAAGGTGGAGTGGAGATAAAAGCGAAAAGAAATGATGAAGCAGCCAGATTCTTAGGTATGTGGATCTCAGAGAGAAATAAGAGGAATTGTGATACAGGCCTAGTAGAAAGAGAGGTTGCTGGGTTAGTAAGAATTTTAAGAAAGAAGAAGATATTGTTGGGGCACCTGCAATACATAAACAATAGAGTATTATTACCAAGATTAAAATATTGACTAAAATGCCAAGTAATAAGCAAGCAAGTCTATAACAGAATCCATAAACTCTTTCTCAACTTACTCAAACAAAAAGCAGGTTTAGCAAGTACTATGGCTAATAGTATCATTATGCACCCAAATTTAGTAGGGGTGAAAGGCTTGTAGCAGGCAAAGGTTGCACAACAAGTTTCTAGTTTAGTTAAAAGACTAAATAGTATAGAGTTGGTAGGGAATATAACCTGGATTAGACTAAGACAGGCATAAATCGATAACAGAAGCAGCAAATATATAATTGAGTAGTCTGCTCAATGGCTAAATGAAGCAGAAATAAAGCATAATTTTAATGTAAGTATAGTTAGAGAAGCCACAAAATTAGGTATAGAACTGGAATGCAGTGAAGTGGCAAAGAGCATGCACTTAGATGAAGGAACAGAAATCTGGTCTGTATTAAGCAAGATTAAAAGAAAACAGTATATAAAAAGTAAGTTGAACAATATTATATTTATAAAACAATTGCTCGAAGAAGAGGGATTAACACTTTTAACCTGATGCCAAGTAAAATTTCTAAGAGAAAATAAGGGCAAAGGAAAGAAGCCCTCATGGTTTATTAGCATTGAGGGTGTAGTGATTAATAACCAGATAACAAGAGAGGTACATACAAGTTACAAATACAAAAAGGAAAATCAAATAGCTTTATTGTCCTTATTTCAGCATATATCCGAAGATAAAAGAAAAGCAGAATGAGTAATATTATTAAATGAAAAGAGCACTACAGAATTGGGCCAGGTGGTTAAAAAAAGTAGAGATAAATTAAAAATAGAAGTAACATATTGGAAAAGAGAGAAAGAAAATAAAGACATTTACAACAAATACCAAGGTTGTAGTCTATCTAACACGCAGAAGCCCAACGAATACAAGTTAGGTTTAAATCTAAAGAATAAACAAAGAGCATTAAAGAAAAACTATATTAAAAAGCAAGGAGAAAATAAAATCCTGTATAAGGTGCTACTAGCAAATTTTAGCAAAAGAGCCAACATACAAACAAATATACCTATCTTGCTATCAAGCCCTTCAGTAATGATCAAGAATCTAGAAGAAAATCTAATCGACAAATATATAGTAGAACAGGAATATAGGGAGAAAATCCAGAAGTTATTGCAGAAACTGGTTAGTTATGCAGAATTAGACATCTTTACAGATGGCTCCTTAGATAAAAATAGTGAAAACGGAGAACCAAAAAGAATGGATATAGGTTGGGTCATAGCCAAAAAGAGCACAGAAGCAGTACTGAAGCAGTTTGCAGGTGCAATAAAAGATTGGCCTTCTTCAACAAGAGCAAAAATAGATGCTATAGGGCTTGTATTATTAGTGGTACTGAACAAATACAAGGTACAGATTTTCACAGATAGTGCAAATGCAATCAGTATTATTGAAAAATTTAGAGCTAGCCCAAATAACACAAAAACTACTAAGCTCAAGAATGGGAGTATCGTCACAATGGTGATAAATTTGGTTGAGATTAAAGATATTAATATTAGCTTTGTAAAGGTAAAAGGTCATAGTGAGGTTAAATTAAATGAGGTAGCTGATAGGCTAGCAAAAGAGAGTAATAGCTCTAAGAAGTGTTGTAGTTTTAGAATAGAATAGTTTAAGTTAATGAAGGTGATACCGAGGTGGAATGGTCATATTGTTGATATATCTATTAGAGAAATAATAGACAATATAACAAAAATGTATTATAGCTTAGGTTGGATAAATAGCAAATATATAGATAGTTTAATTAGAAGCAATACAGAAGAGAAATAGTTAAACTAGAGAGAAATATAGAGAATGCAAAGAAAAGAGGCAGGATATAGATGCAGAAGTTTAAAGGATAGTCACAGTTGGGTTTTTAAGATAAAGTGTATAAATGGGTTGCTGCTAATAATGAAGGTGCTTCACAGAAGAAATCCAAACCTCTACCCGTTTGATTTTTGCATCACATGCTTCTGAAAAAAAAAAAGATCTAGATCATTTAGCCATATGCAAAATATATGAGAAATTGTAGAACAGAATAGAAAGTGAAGCATTTGAGGATTCTATAAAGAAAAAGTTAAAGAATAAACAGAAAGAAAGTGAAAGAAAGAAAGATACATAGCATTAAAAAAGAAGAAATAATTAGAGATTCTCAAGAGGCTATATACAAAAACAAAGTTAACTATATTAGAGAAATCTTCTGAGAGCTTAAAAACGAGAACAGACTACTAAGAGAGCTTTGAAGGATTTACAACCACAAGCTATGAAAACGCTTTCAAGAGATGATCTAATGACTAAGATGTGAAGCTATAAATAAATTTGAGCAGGGCAAAGACATTACAAACTCACAAAAAAGAAAGCGAGATGAAAGAAGTGATTCAACATACAAGAAAACCAAGAAGAGAAAAACCTAAAAGGCAAGATCTGAAAGGATTTTAGCAGAAGAAGCAGATCGAAAATTGTAGGAGGAGACAAAGAAAGAAGTTAGGAAGGTAATTATAACTAATGTCAAATCGAAGTGGTTGGGGCTATATAGACCACACTGTTACAAAACTTAAACACAGTCTTGACAAGGCTAGCAACTACCATCCAAGAATCTGATGGGTAATCTTTCAGCAAGTTAAAAGCCAGAAGGGAGAAAAAGAGTTGCTGCGACAGATTTAGGGTTGGGGCACGGTGTCCCAGGGTATGCCTTTGGGGCATGCCTCCTAGGCATGCCTGGAGGCATCCTCTAAGCCAAAAGTCATGCCCCTATCATGTGATTATAAGTCAGAATCATGCAAATTGATTGGCTACCTATTTTATTAGAGATGACTTGATTTTGTATAACTTTCTTGTAGAGTTCTATAATTTATAATATATAGAAGTGCATGCTCTTGGGACCAAGCTTTAACAACATGCACTTAGAGATCAATAAGAGAAATCAATTTATAAAAGCATGTATATATTTAGACCAGAACTTCAATACGTATTTAAAGAGGATGTGCACTTATAGAGAGCACACTTATAGAGATTTATTATATATATAGGGGGCATGCCCGGGCACAATAAGAGGGAGCATGCCTCAGCCCGAGGCATGCTCCCCAGGGACATGCCCAAAATTTTTCTCGTGCCCCCAACCCTAGACAAATTGCATCTGGGCACTTTTGAGTAGCTGGGTGAGCTTTTATTGAAAAGAAAGAAGGGTTTTTGGCTTTAGCAAGAAACTTATGTATTTAGATTATGCATTCCTTATACAATAAAGGCAAGATTGCCAAAAAAAAAAAAAAATATTATACTTTTCAAAATTCTACTAAGTAAATCTCTTTTTAACTTTTAAGTAAAGTTGTAGAAGAGTATTTTGTAAACAATATAACAATATAACAGTTATAATATTAAAATTAGCCTGGTGTATCATGAGATATAATTATTTTAATTTTCATAACTATATAATATGTTTTCTTTACATAAATAAATATAGTTGTGAAGACAAAAATACTTATATCTTGCAATTCACTAAGCTGATTTTAACATTTTAACCACTATATTGATCACAAGACACTCTTTTACAACTTTACTTAAAAGTTAAAAAAAGGTTAGCTTAGTAAAGAAAATCACTTTCTTTAGAAAACTATTGATTCCAAAGACAATACTATGTTTTGTGGACAGACGGAAAATGCAAGGTTACTTTTTGATGGTTTAATATATGATGCATCAAGAAAGTAACTTTTGTATCATCATGCATAGAAATTAAAGGTCTTTCACTTCGTTCCAGACAATAAGAGAATAACCTACTATATAGAAGTGCTGCCAAGAAAAAATAAAACTTCGTGCTTTAATTCTAATTATATACAGTTTATACAGTATATACAGTATTATACAATTAATCTCTAATAGTTGATATTATCATTAAAACTAAATTTGGATTATACAGTTAATTTAAGCTAGCTAAAGCCATGGCTTACCTGGTTTAAGCCGCGGCTTAGACTATTATATAGTTCAAATTGACTTAACTAGAGATGTGATCCGGATGTTCGCTAGTTTAATTTTATAACAAAGTTATTATTAAGAACAGGATGTCCGGATATCTGTTACATTTTAAATAGGAAAACGGATAACAGATTGCATCTCTACGGCTTAATTATGCCTTGACTATAATTTTAGCCATTAATAACTGCTAAAATGATGATTTAAGTTTTGACTATAATTTTATGAGTCAATCAAGCCCTAAAGGTATATAAGAAACATTTTCTCATCACATATTTTACTTTGCCGGTTTAAGTATAAAAAATCACTTATGCGAACATATGTTTCTTTATATTATCATCCTCATCTCGTCAAAATCTTTCTCAACATGAGACCAAGTACAAGGCATTGTGATTATATTATCTCAGGAGCAAGATTGGCTTTGATTAATTTGCTGGACGAACTGCGTTATACGTTACCGCTGTTTTATCTCTCTTCGTTATTACGCGTTTCTTTTATTCAGAATGCCAGAAAATTTAATTTATCAAGATCTACGTCGCCTAAACAAAAGCGACCCGACCTGAACAAGTATATAGTTGCATCAAATTATTGTTATTGTTGCAGAACGATACACCAAGGCGCGCTTCATTAGGCTTCAATGTATACTTGAATCTGGTGATTTTTTTATTTGAATCTTGTAAGCAAAAGGTAGTTGATAATGGAGAGACAAGTAAAGATCAATGAAATTGTTAACGTCATTGAAAAAATTTCTAGGCAATAAACAATAAGGGCAAGTGGCATATAAAGTTAAAGTTTAGGGATCTGACTTGGGAGAACAGAAAATTAGCTGATAATAAATGCCTACGTCCGTATACTCACTAGCTTTTCTCGTGTTTGGCAAACGAGTTTTAAGAATGTCATAATTTAAAATATTAAGACAATTTTCTTACACTTGCAGAGGATATCTTAGTTTTTATTTTAAAGTTTGATAATCTTCATATAAATGAAGGAATAATTTTAGGATTATAAAATTAAATGGTGATTCTAGTGATGTGACTCTATCCATGACGAGTTTGAGCCAGATGCAGAAAAGATATCGTCTTTAAATGATATAAATTATCCCCGAATAACCTGTAGCCGGAATACAAGCAATGGTTGGAAAGAAAAGAATTTGACCTGATAGGTCTTTTTTTCCTTGGCTGACCTTAGGTACCGCACAGAAAATGCGCAGAGACGAGCATATTATGCAAAGCATATATCGTTCAAGACTTCTAAACTGGGCTGAACAAAAATATTACCTACAGATAAAGTTAATTTTCTACAATTTTAATTCACTATGAATTAACTGTAAGTAATTATTAATATCAATGAAATATTTTATCAAAGATTTTTAACAATATAATTCAAGACTTCCATTATTTTTGAAACTTAGTCCAAAATGTGAAAACTACAGACGTTAATTGAAGAAACCAAACAATCTCTAATAGCACTTAAATATTATTAATATTATTTGACATAGTGAAATAAGTAAAGGATTATTAAAGATGTTCTAATTTTATAATATGGTGGTCTGGCTTTGACAAATAGCGATAATTATAGACTAGTTATATCGGTTTTACTGTTAATAGTTTTAATTACGATATCGATATTGTTAAAATCAATTTTAGTCAACATCACTTAGTACTGTACCATTCGATTTGACTTAGCGAAAATCGTAATATTCTAAAGTTATTATACTGGGTGTTAGATGTGTTAGATGATATAAAAAGCTTATCTCAAAATTAATCAACCAATCAAAAATGTAAAAAATCTTGCAAAAAAAATTCCGAAACTTTTGGTATAGATTTTCTAAAATTGATAGATATGGAAATTTGAATAATTTTCACTGCCCTCGAAGTGGAATTCATACCTCCGGCTAACATACACCAATGCCTCAACGTCAGCCTGATCCTAAAGGAAAGAAAACTTTGAGGCTAGAAAAAGCTTTACAGGAGAAAGAGACGGTTGGAGATACCACCTTATCACTTTAAAGTGCTTCGCTTGATTATTTTTTTTTTATCAATGAGCTTACAAAAAAAAAAAGCGAATCTCAAATAAATCTTTTGGTACAATTTTTTTAAATTATACTTTTAGGGAAACAATTTCTTTAAAAAAGGTGACTACAAAAAAGCGATCGAACACTATGGGAAGGCTAATGCTTTGGATCCCAAAGAAGCGGTTTACGTTATAAACCGCGCCATGGCTTACTTAAAGCTTAAAAAGTTGGTATATGCGTTAATTTTATTTTATTTTATTTTACTTTATTTATTTATATTTTTTTCATTTAATTCTAGATGGGTTGAGGCCGAAAAGGATTGTACTAATGGATTGCTATTGCATCCTGATAATACAAAAGCCCTTTGGAGAAGGGGAATTGCAAGACGAGAATTGGGAAAATTACAAGATGCCAAAAAAGGTATTAAATATATATATCAAATATAGTTTTTTAAATAACGTTATTTGACATCTATTAATTCCTTGTTTAATCATATTAAGACTTGGAAAATGCATTACAGCTAGAACCAAATGATAAGGCGATTAAGGACGAGTATGTAAAAGTGATGGATGCTATAAAGGCGGTAATATGATAAATAGTTTAATCTTTTTTGATTCATGTTCATATGTTCATTTTTAACATTTCAATATAATTTCATTATACGAACTGATGGTTCAACAGAATTCATCTGATCAAACGTCCAGCGAAGTTCCAGATGGTTCAATTGTGAATAATATACATAGGAGACGATTGTCTATTGAAGAAGTCGATCTTGATGAGAATGAACATGTTATTGAATCAGCGAAAAAGGTGCTTTTTACAGATGAAAATAATGCATCACAACAAATCGTAAATGAAAACGGCAAGGTACACTTTGTTAATTTTATTTGCTTTATTTATTATTTGTAAATGCTGTTAAAATTTTTTCATTTTTCCAATAGATAAAAGTAATAAAAATAAATACTCCTCGTAATATACATGATTTTGAACGAGACTGGAATAGATATCAAGATAATGATGAGAATTTATATCAATTTATTAAGGTGGTTAACCATGTCAATAATTCAATTTTTAATTCTCATATCCTATTTAATAATCTTATTATATTTTCTTTTACAAGGCTATTCCTCCTGCATCTTATCCAACTCTTTTATCTGACTTCTTCGAGCCTGATTACCTTTCCAAAATCGTTTTCATAATGAAAAAATACTTTTTACTGTACGTGTATATTTTGTAGATGCTGTATCTTACTATTGGCTTTACGTAAACAAATTGTCAAACTTTTCTTCTTAATATTTTAGCTATGATTCATTAAATGATATTTATAATATTTTATATTATTTGAGCCGTGTTGGAAGGTTTAATCTAGTTCTAATGCTCTTAGAAAAAGATGATAAAAAAGGTTTGTAACGATCCTGTATTCTATAAACTTAAACCACTTTATTAATACATATTACTATTTAATATAGTATTAGAAGATTTATTATACATGTTATTTAAATCATTTGATGAATCACAAATTGATAACATCGATATCAATCAACAAAAATTGACAAAAGCAACACGACAAAACGTGATAGAATTGGCTAAAACTTATGGTGTTCAAATTCAATAGTTTTTTGTTTAAGAACAAATAGAAGTGGTTTAAATTTTTATATATCAAAAATGAAGATAATTAATCTTTGCTTATTATCAATAATATTGTATTTATTTTTAAGCAAACGTTCTGGCTTAGTAGTTATAATGCTAATTTTTATTGCTTAGAAGAATACAATGTGTTTATTTTATATAAAAACATAATTAAAAATACATTATGTTTAGGGTTGGTTGAATTATTGGTTGTCCAAAAAAAATTGTTAGTTAACCATTAAAAGTTTTTGGCTAAACTTGTTTGGCTAAATGAAATCTTGTTAATTATCACAACCCGTTATATCGCATTTTCTGGGTTAAATTTACTACAATAAAACTTTTTATTCAACTTTCAAATATATATAATTTTTGCTATTTTGTATATATATTATAATGTTGATTACTTTTGAACTAATACATCGGATAATTCTGTTGAATTCGTTTAGATCTCCAATTTAATAAGATGAATACCCGGAGATATAGTAAATGGATGGCGGGTTAATGGAACACTAATTTAAGTCAAAAAAAAACCTAATCATGAAGCCTATTTTTTAGTTTGATTGGTTAAAATTTACAATAAATTTTTGACAAAATTATTAATCAAAATGATAAATCAAAATTTAAAATTTTTAGATAAAGTTCGGATTAAATACTTGTACTACAGCACATTTGTAGAAACTATATATTTTCTTAATAATAATCCCCGAGATATTATTAATCAGAGATTAGTATGTAACACCATCTATTATGTTGATCAATTTGCATAATCATAATTTATAATACAAAAAAGCAAAAATAGATTTATAAATAATGCTCATGCGTGTAAAAAAAAAATCTTCATTGAAAAAGTTGAAAAAGCCACCATACAAAGAAAGATGGTAAAGGAACATGCAATCCCATATTCAACTAATTGCACCAACGGTACAATAAAGTCAAAAATGCAAACCAAATCCAAGGTTCGGTTTGATTCTATTATAGACGCACTTAAAGATTTTTGTAGGTATTTCTTGAATGTCTACTAAAAATAGGTCCATTTGTTAACTTTTATACCCTTGCATTGTTTAGCTGAAGGTAAATTTGTACTGGTTGTTGACAACGAAGATCGTGAAAACGAAGGCGATTTAATCATTGCTGCTGAAAAAGTAACTACAGAAAAAATGGCATTCATGGTTCGGCATACAAGGTAAGAATTCTTTTATTTATTTTTTTTTTCTTGAAAATTTTTTATCTTAAAAAAATTAAAATCTTTTATAATTAGCGGGTTAATATGTGTACCGACTACTCCAGAACGATTGGATCAGTTACAACTGCCTTTGATGGTGCCGAACAATACCGAAAAAATGAAAACTGCATACACGATATCGGTGGATTACAAATATAGTAGGTTCATTCGGAGTTTTGTTAACTGATAAGTAAAACATATTTTTATAAAAATTCGATTCGTGTAGATACTACGACCGGTATATCAGCGCATGACCGTGCATTAACAGCACGTTCACTTGCTAATCCAGCTATTACTGATCCAAGTGATTTTAATAGGCCTGGTCATGTGTTTCCATTAAGATATCGCGAAGGTGGAGTTTTGAAAAGAATTGGCCATACAGAAGCTTCAATAGGTTTGTATTAAGATCTTCATTATCTTATATGTTCTACTGAATTTTTAATTAAGTTATTTTTATTATTATTTATTATTAGATTTATGTAAATTAGCGGGTTTGCAACCAGTTGGTGTTATCTGTGAATTGGTAAGGGACGATGGGCAAATGGCGCGTCGCGATGATTGTCGCGCATTTGCAGATGAGCATAATTTAAAGCTCATTACTATCGCAGATCTAGTACAATATCGTTTAGATAATGGACTTTTTGATATTTAGATGTAATTTTAATTTATTATGGTAAATTAGTTGATAGACTTTTTTTGTATCATTACAAAAAGTAATTATAATTATATAATAAACTTTATCTCTGGTGTTCCTGACAAACCTATGTTTATCTTTTCATTCCAATAATAATCTTCGACCTGGGATGTTTTGATAATTAATAGCCTTCCATCTCTGCAGATTTTTTAATGATAAATGATTGCTTTTTGTTTAATTAACTCCGATTCTACTCTGACAATAATATCCAATTTAAAATATTCTAACATCACCCATCTCTGCAGATTCATAATAATAACCCCCATGTTAGTTTTATACTGCAAATAATTCATGTGATTACCTCCAGTTGGGGACATGAAATTACAGAAAATTAGCCTATACCGTATAGGGAAGATTAATATAGTACAGGCTAGAGGTCCAATCCGGATAGCGTTTATCCGAATAATTATCGGATATCCGAATAAAGTTCGGATCGGATACTCGGATAACAGATAGCGGATATCTGTTTACTATTGATATTCGAATAAATATCTGAAAATCAGTCGGATTATCCGGATATCGGATCTGTTTATCCGATCTGAATTATAGTTCAGATACGGATAAACGGATGACGGATTTATCCGGATTGGACCTCTAGTACAGGCCGAATTAAAACTATAGCTGTAATTCCTAACCTTAATAATATGTAACACCAGCTCAGTTTGGTATATAATTTAAAAATTAGTACGGATCTGCATACTCATCTTAATTAACGAATATACATTTGAATAAAAAACATTATATAGATTCGAATAATTTTATTGACGTGAGATTTTAATAACATTCGTCTACTTTACCACTAAGAGACTAATAAAAGACTAATAATACGTATTAACAGCATAACTATATGCTAACAAATGTTCATTTATTTATATTTAATGTTGTTAAGTCCACGCTGGTGACTTACAAAAGCAGTGCATTTACCATATATACAAGTTCAAAAGCATAATAATGTCAACTTATTTCGTCGTCAATAGTGCTCGTAAATCTTCCAATCGTGCTAATGATAAATATCATATATTAGAATAACACATTCCATAAATTACAAGAATAATAGTTATATATGCAAATCTATTACCTTCAAGTCTTTTGCTTGCATCTTTTCTGATCTTTTCACCAAAAGCTACAAACATTATAGAAATAAATTAAGTTTGTTTATTTAAAAATAAACTAAAATTCATGCATCAACAACTATCCATTACCTTGTGATACCATGCTTCGTTTCTTTTCTTGTAATTCAATTACACGATCTTCGATTGTATTTTCAATTACAAACCGGAAAATTGATACCGGGCGAGTTTGTCCCAATCGGTAAATTCGATCTATAAAATTTATATGAGAGTAAATTACAATCTGCTTCATTAAGGACGATACACAATTAGTAAGAAATAATACCAACCAACAGCTTGGTCCTCTGTTGCAAAAAGTTAATTAGAGAATTTTTTTATAATCTTGAACAAAAGTTAAAAAATTTGAGATAATAAATAACTTACCGATACTCTAAGAATACCAACATGTGAATAAAATAAAAATATTCATAAGTACTATAATAGAATAGACCAAGTACAAGGGAAAAAAAAACAAGCCCACTTACAGGATTCCACCATGGATCCATGATGAAACATTGATCCGCAGCGGTCAAATTAAGCCCCAATGATCCACATTTTAAACTTATTAAAAACACTTTAACTTCTGGATCATTTTGGAACATTCTCATTGCATCTTCGCGTTTAGGGCGCGGCATTTTCCCGTCCAGGCGTACAAATTTGATTTTGGCATGGTGGAGAGCAGGTTCAACTAGATTAAGGAAAGATGTCCACTGGCTAAAGACTACAGACTTACTAGCTGGATCTTTTTCACGAGATACTTTATAATTATCAAACGAAATTAATTATTTAGAAAATTAGGTCCGAGTAAAATCAACATCAGTATATTCGATATACCTTTCAGGAATTCCAAAAGGGCATTAATTTTAGAGCTAGAAACATAGCCTTTATCTGAATTTTCACTAGAATCCTCATCAGTTTCGACCGAATCCAGAGGTTGCTCAATTAGTTGTTCTTTGTGGATAGGTTTACGACACATTGGACAGGCATGCTTTTGTTTTTCGATAACTTGCTCAATGCATTCTAAAAATAATTACAAAGTAAATAATAATAAATCGCGTGTATCATATAACACGCTTAATAAATCACATGAAAGAAAACAAAATAAAACATACCACGATCAAAAACATGTCTACAAAGGGTTATAACTGGTGATGATAATGGATCAAGGCAAATACAACAGTCTTCGTTATCTTCAATCGCTTCTTTCAAGAATTTGGCTAATATCTGTGCATTCTCTGGAGTTAAATCGAGTGAATTCTCAGAAGCTAATTTTAACCGATCTTCTGCAAGTTTCCAATGATCACAAATTTGTCGCATCCTCATTAGAATTTCCAATAATGCAGCAGCACTACCCTATTTAAAAGTATTATAAAAATCGATAAAGAATAAATTTTACACAATAATGTATATGAATAACATTAATTTATTCAAAAGTGCAGACCCTTCCACCAGAATTTTCGAGTTTACGGAAACACTCCTTCGCGGTTTTGCTGGAATTAAAAGACGATCGATTGTTACCATGTAATAAAGGTTAAAGTATAAATGATGAATAAATAAAATCGATAATTAACATACTCCATCAAATCGTATTTCTTTTTCTCTTCAGTACTAAATTTGACTTTATGCAAATAAGAATTAATTGGAGGAAGATCTAAGATGGATCGACCTAGTGCAAAGATGGTGATTTTGGTTAAGTTAAACATAATTAGACGTTCAATCCACAAATTTCACACAAATTACCTTTGAACTTCATATCTTTGGTGCGCCTAAGACAAGTAGTACGAATCAAGCACTAAATATTTAAAAGAAAATGAATAAAATGTTAGTATAATGGCAAAAAATTTGATTTAATAAGCATCTTAAATAAAAATTGAATACAACCGCAAGGCGGTCAATACCATCGAAATCCTAATAAAAAAAACTTAAGTTATAAATATCAGCAAAAAATTGCAATAACTGCACTTTTGATTCTCATACCCCTTTGCTGACAGGACGAGAAAAGACGCGAGTCCACAAATCATATTCTTGAAATGGTGTAATTCTTAAAAATTTAACCAGCGAATACTGTGCGATTTTGTGCATAAAGTTATTTTCTGATTTAATAAATATGCAAACAATAATAATAAGGAAAAAAATTCCATACTCACCATATCATTCAATTGATTCATGATCGGAGTGCCACTGAGTATCCATCGACGTTCAGCATCCAAAGCACATGCAGCCTGGCTTTGTTTTGTCTTATTTGTTCTAATAATGTGTCCCTCATCAAGAACGACGCGACGCCATTTTATCGCAAACAACCCTCTACGTTTATCTTTAATGTTCGATGATGCGAGAACCTGATAGGTCTGTATGTATAAAGTTAGTATTATATAATAAAGCAAATAAGTTTTTTGCAAAGAATGAGACTACCGTAATCACAACATCATGGCCTGAAAGGAAGGAAGTATCTGAAATTCGATTCGGCCCATGGAAAACATAATACGACAGAACATCAGGTTTCACGTGAGTATTAATTTGATCGACCCTGAAATGAAACATGTAAATTAATAATAGAACAGCATGTTGAAGTTCAGATTTAGTAAGAAAATATAATTACCAATTTCCGAGGATGCTTAATGGAGCTGTATATAATTAAACGTTATATTAATTGAATATTCAAAAAAGAGAATATAATATAATTACTTTGTAATTCACAAACTATGAAATCTATATTATAATTTGTGGGATTTGGTCGATAGTTTATTACATACCGACAATTAGAGTCGTTTTAGAATAATTCGGGCTTGTAGGTGAAGGTGTGGTAATAAATTCCCCTCCACTGGCATCTGATACAATCAAGGATATTGTTTGTAGCGTTTTACCAAGACCTTAACAATTTTGGGTATGTTAATTTTATTTCCGAATAAATTGTAATTCCGAATAAATTGTAATTAATCGGAGTAAATTGTAATTAATCGACACAACTTACCCATATCATCTAAACATGATAAAAATTCTATTTGTTAGTATTTGAATTTAAAGATGAAAAATGACAAAAATTTAAACTAATAGTTGCCTGCAAGGATGCCACCACGGGAAAATTCAGGTCGAGTTTGAGATGCATGACTAGTTGCAACATTATAGTAAATGGTGGATCCGTCTCCAGGTCCTCTACGCAAAGTCCAAAATTGAGTTGTATTTTCTAGTGTTGGTTCTGCCGGATGTTCGTGAGAGAGCATCCAACCGAGACCTTGTTTCTGATAAGGTAAAAGTCTGGTGAGAAGCGCCTCTGGTTGTGGTGCCTCCGGAAGCTTCTCTAAATCTTCAATAGATATTCCAATCTTTTCAAACGCCTCTTGTTTCTTTTTCAAACCAATTTGTTGACCTCTACCAACCAAATCACGCCATGTCTCATCAAACTCAGCTATTAATGAGAACAAATACGCGTCAAATGAATGTTTTTTTTTTTTTTTATCGAATCAAAAATAAAACCAAGGAATAATACCTCGAGATGCAGCCTCAGCTAAGCTTTTCTTTGTTTGTCGTGGTTCTTTTGGAGATTCGATCAAAATTCCACGTTTTTTTAACGTCTTAGAAATTGTTTCTTGTTTCTGAGGTAATCCGAACACGTGTAATTGGAGTGGAATACTGTAGGTACCACGGTTTCCAATTATAGTAGCTACACATATTTTATGTCATAAGTTTTTTATTCAATAACAAAGAGTCACATATGAGATAAGAACGGATTATACCCTCGATTTTAAGATCACCTATTATTTCGCATACATAAAATTAAATTAGGTTATAATGTGAGTAAAATAAAAATTGCATTCAAAATATCAAACTATATTATAACAACAAACCATTATCAATCGAAGAAGATAAAATGGCAGCAACATCTCTAGGAACATGACCGACCTTAAAATAAAGATAATAAATAATTAACACTTTTATCATAAAGTTAATAGATCGACAGTCGACTTATACTTACTTGTTCACCCATAACATTGTCTACCCTAAGCGCATTTTTGTCATGAGGATTGGTTGGTTCACGCATTATGGATACCTTTTTTAAAATCAATACATTACATTCAGATCAGTAAATTATATAATGGTTTTGATTTGCCACTAGCATATAATACATGATATTGAAAAATTATATGTACGTATATGTTTGATGTGTAATGCATGTGATTTTAATTTTTATGCATACTATATGCAGTGGCAAACGTGCATGTACGTATTAAGAAATTATATTACCGCTTCTCCCTTGTTAACAATTCCATGATAATATTGGATGCCCACAACTTTAGTTCTAGCGTTACCATATAAAATATAAGATTCATCTTCATCTTCTGAATTATCATCATTCTCTTCTTGTTCTTCGCGAAGTTCTTCACGATACGCATCCAAATCAACATAATATGGGGCAATGAATACACGCTCAGTAGCATCTTGATCTTGAGTAGGTGCAGGTTGACGATCAGCTTCAGAAGTTAATTGATTAAAAGTTTCGACAGGCATTGTAATTGGAATGGCAGTAACGTTTTGAGAATTTTTAAGCCACTCAGGTTCTTCTGAAGTAAAATCAGAAGATGATTCTCTAGAAGCAGAACTAGCAACTTTTCGTTTCTTTGAAGTCTTTTTCTCTATTAATTAAAATGAAATGATAAAAAAAATATTAATAAAAATAAAATCAGTTGTTAACATTTATAGATTAATATTTACCTTTTGTTTTACTACCTTCGCTTTTTGATGATGATCCAGGTTCACTCACAACAGATTTACCTTTAGTTTCTCTTTTTCTCTTTGATTTTTGATCGGATCCATCATCAGCTTTCTTTACAACAGATTTAGCTTTAGATCCTTTTTTTTTCTTTGAATTTTTTTCATCGGATTCTTCATTATCAACATCATCAAGGGTTACATCACTCAAATTTTTATCACTATCGTCTTCTATTATATCTATTGTCGCCAATGGACATGCGTCAGAAGTATGAAGCGTGTTTCCGCAATGGCAACACGCAGTGGTAGTACTTGTGCGTTTAGGTCTAAGCTTCGGCATTGCTGATACTACGATAAAATTTAACAATAAACTAAAGATATATTAGATATATTGCACTTTTTATATTTTTAAATAAAAAACACGCAATATTAAATAAATTTACCGTCTGCACGTACTTTGAGAAATAAAGCCGCGTAAATTTTATATATCACTTTAATGAGAGAGAAAAAAAAAGGAGTCTAAATAATAACGTAAGTGCGTAATTGCTATTTATTTAATTTTATATATTACTGTATTATCGCTATATATTGAAAAATTGTGATCTAATACTAAATACGATAAAATATTTAAAGTCACGTGACAAGAGACTCAGATTATAAATCAATCACCAGCAATATTCTGTCATTGTTACATACAAATAATGATGATTTCAGCACGAAAGTAATGCAGTACAGTCAACTACCGATATAACGACACCTTTAGGCCGGATTAGCTAGTTTAACGGGCAAATTGCAAAGAACCGAATTTATAATGGTTATCGTCATAACGGATTAATAATAAGAAAGCCACATCGATATAACGGAGTTTTTTTTCAGCCCAGATTTCCGTTATATAGATGACTATATAATACAGTAATAAAAGTGGATAGTGCATAGTTTGGAATTGGATTCATTTTTTTTAATCTGGATTTGAATAATTAGTAAAAGAAACAGCCGGATTTAAATCCAGTTATTAAAATCGATCTGATTGTATCCTGCATATCACGTATTTTTTTTACTGGTATTTAAATAAATCCGTCAATTCAACCAACATATCGATATCTGCTAACTCGCCTGTTTCCCTGGTTGATTTAAATTCGATTTTAGCAGCATATGAAATACACTTGGCAAAAAATTTCTACTAAATTAAAATATATATATAATACGTAATAAAAAAATAATAATGTAATATATATATCAGGCCATACAAATTTGATTACTTGGTTTTCATAACATGAAATTTTTAAATAGACCCGGCCGGCCGGCTTTTTTTTTT